GCTATTTCGTTTTTAAAAACATTCATATTAATACAGTAATGTTCGATCGAGTTACTATTGTAAACTTACGAATGTAAGTATTCGTGTAATATATTTATTTTAGTCGTAAAAAGGACGCAAAAAAAGCAAATTGACATCTTGTTATGAAAGCGACGGGCGATCTCTATCAGTGACAACACGTTGGGCGCCACTTTCGCTCAAACCAATATTTTGCTTTTATTAGTGCGTGAGTTAACATCAGTTATTATCTCGTACATCATTTTCTAGTCTAACGTAAATTAGTTCACAAACATGATTAATTTATGAATTGGCACGAGCGAGGGTGGCTCAATTTATCCGACATCGGTGAACAAACCTCGGCACGCGCGCCCTCTCACCGGCTCAGCATCCCTTCGACGTATTTGTCAACACAACACCGCACTTGTCTCGCACTCAAATAACTAATAAGCACTGACTACTTCCGGGATCAATGCTCGATATTTTTTTAAGAATAATGAATGGTATTAACTGGTTCTTTGTTTGGGAATCGCGAAAGCTAAGCTTGAAGCGTCACGAGCAACGCGCAGACGTCCTCACACCGCGGCCGGCGCGTCGCACTGGCTAGCTATAGCTAGGGTGCGTTCAGAATCGGTCGCTTCCTATTCCTTCCGTGCAATTATAAATATTTGCCTTTCGTCCGGAAGTGCGAGGGTATTTTGATAATGGAAGACCCTTTTTGTAATGGCTATTTCGTTGACTTAATTGTAATTTATTGATACAGCTAATCCATTTGAAACATGTTTAGTAATTTTTAATAAGATGATAAAATATTTTTGTTAAAAGCCGACATTTTCTTCAGAAATTACCCACATTGAGTTGAGTGATGCACTTGTTTTCCAGTGTAGAGCTTTATGCAACTAAACATAATTTTTACTTTTTTACTTTTACTTTTTATGTTGTGCGCATTTGACATAGCTATATTTCCATCGATCTTATAATGCGGGCTCATGCGAAAATGTCCCGGCGAATACTAAACCAATACCCTAAAGTAACCCGAACACGTCAAATTACGCAACCTCTCGAGGTCACTGCGGTCGGCGACCTTACTATAACTGTATTTAGGAGGCAACGGTTCTAGCGTTCAGCTAAGTAGACTATAAAAAAAAACTGTATAATACTAATAGTTTTGAAGTTGAATCACTACTTAAAAACTATCACACTTCATTTTTCATTTTTGTCTTTCTACCTATTTAACATAGTTCTTCAATTATTTTGTCATGTACAGGTTTTGCCATGAAACCCGTTTCAGAACGGGCTGGATCGATGGCGGGAAAGCGAGGAAAGCGCGGGAAACCAGCGGCGCCATCTTGGGGAGCGTTGCCATGGCGACCGACACCACTGATTGGTTTCATTCAACCGTCCAGCAGTGATTAAAAATCGCCTGTGGCAAGTAATTACTAGTAAAAACTGAAATTAGATTGAACTGAAGTGGAGTTACTGAAATAACTGATAGTTGCTCCCATTCATTATCTGTCGAACAATTTTCGGTAGATCATATCCTTATGGTTGGGTATTCATGTCATGGCTTCTGGGGATTCATCTCGGCTGATCTCAACACGTCGCTTGCGCGGCTTATTTGAAATTTACGGCTACCTGAGCAGGGGTCCACCGGGGCGTTTATCACTGCAATAGTTTATTTATGGACCACCTGCGTCCGCTTAGTGCCTGTCGGGGCTTTCGGCTAGATGGGCAGTTTTGGAGGGATCGAACATGGGCTCATGAAGGGTTAAATGAAGGATAAGGTACATTCAGTAACTATGTACCTTATCCCTCCAAGTTACCATGAAAAAATCAGAAGTTAATATTTTCTTCCAGTAAGTCGATAAATTCAAATAATGCATCAAAAGTCGACAGATTGCAGTTCTTTTTGGTAAAGTGGACTCTACCTAGCTAGACCCAAACTTTTGCTTCTTTTATTCATGGACGTAACGTAAAATATTATCTAAGTTAATGAAATAACAAAAACTTAATATTTAAACTTAAAATAAAATAATGTTTATCAGTTATCATCACATTTTACGCGCATAATATGTGTCAAAACATTAACATCTTTAAAAACAAGAAATACATAAATAATTTACAAGTGAGCACTGCCCCATTTGCATAGGACTTGGGATGTTACTTTCACCCTACAACCTGATTCGAGTGATCCCAAAGACATTAATTTACGGGCCAGCTGTGACTCTTCGTCTTACCTGGAGCCCAGGAGCGTGGGGATACGTTCTGTGGTGAATTGATGTATGTAAATAAATAAATACCTCATATTTTGTAGTTGATAATGTAATTGGCCCAGAAGAAATGGTCGACTGTGGTTATCATGACTAACTACCCACATATTTACAGCAGCTCAAAGGCATGCCTTGCATATGTGCCTTGCCTTAGGGCGGGAAGTAGGCCGAAAGGGCTGCGGCCACAAACGGCTGCGTGACACGCGAAATGCGAAGCCCATGCGGTGGAATAAGGGCCGTGTACACGGCAAGATATGATTTTTGTTGTAAATTATCTTTTAAACAAATCAGTCCACATTTGGACGTTTGAAACAGAAAAGCTCTTTTGTAGCGTTCTAGCGTTTGTTCATGAGATATAAGGGAAACACAAAAGACTTACTTTGCCATATTTGATGGAAATGCCGTCGCGGTTCTTCAACGTCGGAACAGTTTGATATGACTTGTTTGCGTATAAATCGGAGCGAATTAAGTAGTGTTACATGAATTACATAATTCGCAACCGCATTTCCGCCAAGTGTGTCAAAAGCCTTGAGCTGCCGCGTCCGTAACTTGCGTGATCAAGGGCTCAACGAAGTTTCGCTACCAGTGGTCGAAAGGCTTTATAAAGCAGGTTAAAGAATTACCCAACTGATTCTTTCCGAGGTTTTTGCGTGCATCACGACGCGAAGTGGGTCAGAGGGCCGAAGGTGCGGCCTCAAACAATCGGACGGGACGCGGAGTGAGTGATCGACTGGATTGGATTATTTATTTATTAAGATTTATTAAAGGAGGCATTTAGATAGCTAGGAAGGTTCGATTCAAGTCACCCAATTTGGGGTAGGTATTACTAATGCAAACAGGTAGGATGAGGTTAGCCACCATTCACGAGAACGGGCTGCAGTGTCCCACAAAAAACCAATCCTTTCGAATTTTGTAATTAGAATTTCAAACAAATGTTTGTGTTCGCACTTCACGTTTACTTGCGGGATCCAGTAATGCAGGATCCGTGGGAACAAGCCCTAACATTCAACTGAGCTGTCATGCCATTCGGCAATTCCAGCGGTTGGAATTCCTGGCGGAATATTTCCGGAGTTCCGGAGATTTGACCGGGCGGCCGGCGCCGGCCGGCTAACTACTTAACTCGTTTTCATTAGTCTGGCTTTAATTCGCAGCCATTAATAAGTACCTAACTACATAAGTGTTATACATATTTCCCTAATCTGGGGCCTTTAATCTAAGTCTGGGGCAATATCTGGGGTTGAAATGCTGCTTTTAATGATTTTGGTAAGATTTTCATGCCACGGACAAGAATATTATTTAATTGCTAAATAAACAGTGTTGAGTTAACCATGTGATATTGTAAGTAGTCGTACAGTCGTACTCGTACCTAAAATAGGTATGATAATATTGATAGGACCACAGATCTCAGCTTTCCTACTTCACTAATTACTACAAAATCTGGGGGCACGGCAGTGCCCCCACCAAGTCGAGCAAAAAAGCGGCACGGCCGTACCATCCTTTTCTCGAAGCAATTCAGGCCATTTTCGACCGCCTGTAACTTCGTTGTGGATAAAACTAGAAGGCTGAATTTTCATTAGCTANGGTATGATAATATTGATAGGACCACAGATCTCAGCTTTCCTACTTCACTAATTACTACAAAATCTCAATTTCCAAATTGGATACGGAACCAAAATGCTCTCACTTTATTAGGGAAACCTAAAAATCCAATTTTATAATGAACATTGGGACCTTTGATGTTACAGCTTTGATCTAGCGCGGTTGGACTTCACGCCTCGATGCACCCATCATTGATGACGTGTACAGCGAGAGGGCTACATAAAACCCTCGTCACAGACGGACAACAACCACAGTTGGAGTTGGGTGTTGTTGAATGGTGCATTAGGACTACTTCAATTCTTGAACGAACGCAACGCAATAGAGCAGCTGAATCCTACCTAATTGCTAAGTGAAGGTTTGGTAAGTTCAATTTATAACTAGCGTTGCCATAAACGTTTTTCTAAAAAAACACCCAAGTGAGACTTGGATTATTTGAGCATGAAGGGTTCCGTACTTCCGTATGACGTTTTTGTGGTATGGAAGCCCAACTATATANATGGTTACAGGGTTATCCATTGTTTTTGGGACACCCTGTATTTATTTTATGTTAATAGTTATTAAAATTTCTTAGCGATTAGAGTCGCTTCTGAAATTAAATTATTATAAGTAAAAAACTAAGGTAAAAAACTTGAAAAAATCATCCAATGTCTAAATAAGTACCTAGCTCAGATCGTGGGTTCGATTCCCGCCTTAGGCAGTTCGATTTTTTGAAGTTGTTTATTTATAATTTATAATTATTATTTTAATTAAATTTTCTTAAATAAATAAGTATATCTTTGGTTTTTATAAGTACGTAGTTGTTAAAGCTACATTATATTATTTATTTTGTTATAGCTACATAATAATAAATATTAGTAATTAAATAAATTTTGTTTGTATGTAGGTAAGCATTCTATAAATAAAGCAGTGCGACATTTTTAATCGGATAACAAAAGAGATAACATCGATTCGTCATCTCCGTTAGAATAAAAAAACGTATAAACAAAAACCAAAACTTACCCCACATGAACTTATCATCGATTTCCCACATTATTCAGTCGATACGGAATCTGCACTACACAAATAATATCACGAGATAAATCACTCCTAAACTGCTACGTACGAGTATCACATGACAGTAACGAGTATTTTTATTTATTGTCTGTGGCACTTAGTCAAGAAAATCCATTTTCACAAAGACGCCTTTCGTGTTTTCATGTTAATTTCCGACAAAACTGCTGATTTTTGTATTTTTTGTATCAGTGAAACAATCATTCCGTCCTCGCACAATATACAGCAAGTACAAAAAACAATAATGAGGTGAGTTTTAATTTGTTTTTACACGAAAACGTAGATAGCGATCAGCTGTGATGGCTGTCGGGCGATAAACTACCAACACGAAGAATCTATAAAACAATAGGAACGACTGTCCGACTGCTTTATCGTGGGTTTGGTGGTGATTTGCAGATAATACCTATCTCATGAGCGCGGAGCGGAGCAGTTACTTCATTTATAACTTGCGGAGGCGAGGCGCGGCGGCCTGGAGAGACCATGACGAGACCCGGGCCTCCCAATGAAAATTTGCCGACCGTGAGTGCATAAATACAATACCATTATCATTTTTTTATTATCTTGCAATTTTTTACTTAGCAGCTAGGCATTATTACTGTTTCAATCTGTGTAACAATGAGTTCTTGGTTGTCCATACACAATTTAAATTAAAACTGCTTATTTTGGATTTTTATGGTCATCGGTTTGCTTTATTATTATTTATTTATTTATCTGAGTTTGAAATATGTAAATGATTAAACCAATTACTGAATCATTGATATTCTGCTTTTTCTAGATTATTTCCTACTTTCCAGTCTATTCTAAAAATTAATGTAATAAAAAATACTTTCATCAGTTCTTGAAACAGATAATGAAGCATCACAAGCAAGGATATGACAAATTAATTTTTGTGTTTGTAGTATCAATAAAATTCAGCAATCAATGATATGAATGTAAATGATTCTATTATTTTGTCAGGCATTGTCCTCCAAAATTAATGTCTGTTGGGGACCACCTGCGCTGAAGACGAATGCTCCACCATTACTAGCCGTGTGCTTATACTGTGCTGTATTGGGTTCATATTTATTTATTCTACTGTGTTTGTTTTATTTATTTCAGAGTTGATCGCTAGTGCTTGAAGGGCAATGTCAATATTCAAAGATTGTGACAGTGTATGTGCCTTTGTTTTTGTAGTGAACGCATGCATGTTGTGGTTCTGTTGCAGGTCATGTTTTTCATTGTTTTGTTTGCTGCATTATAATGTTTGTTTCATTCATTATGAAAGAAATTTATCTGATACAAGATTACTGTAACCATAATTTATTACCTTTAAGTACTGCTAAAATGAGTCCGATGAATAAATAGTTATTAGCCCCCATTAAAACACATCATTGTTGTAAAATTGTCTTTATTAGGTTGTGCGATGAATTCCTAAAAGCCTGCTATTATTTTTCATCGTGGAGTATGAGACGAGTTATTTCCAGAATAATAATAAATATTGCATGTAAGCATCATCTGTGTGCATGGAAAATAAAATGGTGGCATTTTCATGACATGAATTAATGTTCTTGTAAGCTACTATTTAAATATAATCCTGTCCTTCAGGCATTTAGAAAAGAATATTTTATTGACTTTCTAGTATTTTAATATGAATGTAGATCCTGTTTACAAAATTGTTTGATTAATAATTTTGAATGAGGTACTAGTATCTCGCGCGTAATACAAATATTTTTTTCGTGTTTCTCTTGACTCTGGTATCTATTCATATTGAGGCCTCCTTTTACGTGTGATCGTTTCATCCACCAAGACACGCCCCACCATTCTTCCGCTCATGTTTGAGTGTTATTGGTACACGTTAAATTTTATCCATGAGTGCACACGCACACTACAATAATGACGCTCGGATTGCTCGGATCAAACTCTCCGCACCCCGCGCTTCCCCCGACCAAAAATTGGTGGGGCGCGTCTACGTGGATGAAACGATCTACCTATTTGAGTCCATTTGTGAGGAGCAGTACGCCAAGTCCCGACTGCCTGCAGGTGAAGCTGGTGGTGGTGGGCGACGGCGGCGTGGGCAAGAGCGCCATCACGATCCAGTTCTTCCAGAAGCTGTTCGTGACGGACTACGACCCCACCATCGAGGACTCCTACATCCAGCACACGGAGGTCGACGGCCAGTGGTGCATCCTCGATGGTAAGGGCTGCACAGTCTTGAATTTTTTATTGAGGCCGTTTTCTGACTTGTCAGCGCGGCAGCGGCACGACATCAGCACGCGGTATCGAAAGCTTACCGAGCGGTAATACATAAGGCCGTTTTCTGACTTGTCGGTGCGGTAGCGCCGCGGCATCGGTATGCTCTGTATACGCTGTACAGAAAACTTATCGAGCGACCGAGTTCCTGATTGGCGCTGCACAGACTCAATCAATAACAAACACAGAGCATAGCGATGCCGCGCCGCTACCGCATCGACAAGTCAGGAAACTGCCTAATATTTCAATACAGCGTTCCGGCGTGGCACAGCCTCAATCGGAACGCTCCATTGATTTATAGGCGCTCGGTAAGCTTTCGGTACCGCGTTCTGATGTCGTGCCGCTGCCTCGCCGACAAGTCGGAAAACGGCCTCAGATTTCATCCAGGGTTGCATGATTTAAATCACGATTTTTATTACATGATTTTTTAAATAAAAATCATTGATTTAAATCAATGACCGAAAATGGAATTAATGAAAGGCTGGGAGTTAATATTAATCAACTGTAATGTTCGAAAACAATGTTAATATTAGGTGTTAATGTATGAAATTGTCGTTTTGTATGGATAATCTGAAAAATATATTTTTTCCATACAATCACATTTGCGATTTTTCAGATAACCACATAATTAATTTTTTTTGGCGGTGTTGCCTGCTTAAAAATGTATTCCGTAAGAAAAACTAAAGAAATGATCGCAGAACCTAATAAAAATCAAAAAAATCAAATTAATCAAAAAAATCGTGATTTTTATCCACCCTGATTTCATCTAATATTATTGAGTAGAAACCCAACAATAATATCTACTGCATTGACAGGTTTACCAGTCATGAAATGTTTATTGTTTATAGTGATGAGTCTGTGCGTTTCCCACGTTTTATTTCATAATCAAATGTTGGAAAACATTGTATTGTTAGTTTATCATGCTGAGTATTGCTCATTGCCATATACGTTGACTGATGGGCGATTGAAACCTATTGCTTCCGTCGAGATAACACTGGGCAACCTTCGACAGTGCTGGACACGGCGGGGCAGGAGGAGTTCAGCGCCATGCGCGAGCAGTACATGCGGAAGGGCGACGGCTTCCTGCTGGTGTACTCCGTCACCGACCAGCAGAGCTACGAGAACATCCGCCACTTCCACACGCAGATCCTGCGCGTCAAGGACAGGTAATACCGTCATCATAAATACATACTTTCTGTAGTCTGGTCCGGGAGCACGTAGAATTTTGTCCAATGACCCCAAGCTACCCATTCTTATCGCTCGCGCGTAATTATGTTGCTGTCACGCTCTCGCACACACTGCGGGCGCCCGTCCCTCAGTAGCGACAGCAATATAATTACGCGCGAGCGATAAGGATTCTAGAGATTAAGAAGAAAATTCTACGTGCTCCCGGACCAGACTATATCTATCTATCATTGTCATCGTCACCAGCACCACCTTGATACGCCCACTTTTGTTCTGTGACTGAGGACATAGAAGTGGTAGTTTCTCCTGCGGTGCCCTGGATGTCGGCTACGGTTTGTTGGAGCGTCAGGCGAGAACTCTCGCTGCCTCTCGGCTATTTCTTTCTGTGATATGACTGTCTTGAAGTGGTGTGCGGCCACGGATCTTGGCATACGCGCCAGGATAGTCCGTAAAGTTCTCGCCCGACCTATTCTACGAGGATTCCTCCCAGGCTGGACATACTTCGAGTGTGTGCTGCGCGAAGTCTGGCCTTTTCGGCATTGTCAGCGATTGGCAATCAGTCGAGATTGTGCCGAATTGTACGACTCCTGTTGTTATGAGCTGCTAGACAGCAAGGAGCCGTTTGGCGTTGGTCTTTATTGCCTTCATTAAAGGTCTATAAAAATGTTGCAGGGAATCCTACCCGATGCTGGTGGCAGCCAACAAGGTGGACCTCGTGCACGTGCGCGCCGTGAGCGAGGAGGCGGGCCGCGAGCTGGCGCGGCAGCTGGGCGCGCCCTACATCGAGACCAGCGCCAAGGAGCCGCCGCTCAACATCGACGCCGCCTTCCACGAGGTCAGTCCCCCGCCCGCCCGCGCGGCCAGTGGCGGGCCCGAGCTGGCGCGGCAGCTGGGCGCGCCCTACATCGAGACCAGCGCCAAGGAGCCGCCGCTCAACATCGACGCCGCCTTCCACGAGGTCAGTCCCCCGCCCGCCCGCGCGGCCAGTGGCGGGCCCGAGCTGGCGCGGCAGCTGGGCGCGCCCTACATCGAGACCAGCGCCAAGGAGCCGCCGCTCAACATCGACGCCGCCTTCCACGAGGTCAGTCCCCCGCCCGCCCGCGCGGCTAGTGGCAGACCAGCGGTCAGTCCCCAGTCAGTCAGGCCTCGGCGAGGTCAGTGACCCCAACATCAGGACATGCGTCACCCATATCTCGGACCAACCAAGCGTGATGTGGGAATCTTCTAATCGACTGACCAGGTTAAGAATCATAAAATTATTTTAACACTTTTTGTAGTTTTTGTATTCTGTACCAGACATCTGATAAAACAGCTGTTTTCTTGCCGGAGCCTATCGGTTGGCAGGATTTAATATCCAAAATTAAGTGGTGTATATTGCGAGGGAAGTATGGACGTCATCGTTATCTGTAATCTGTATTATATTGGTTTTTGTCTAATCTTATCTTAAACGTTATTATTCTGACATCAAATTATTACAATGAGCCGATAACTCATAAGTTCCCACTCCATTTGAATCGGCGGATCCCTTTCGATTAATTTTCTAAGTATTTCGCACAAAACAATATTTTCTCACGCAATGTATTGTCTCCACAGCTGGTGCGCATCATCCGCAACCACCCGCAGCAAGAGGAGAAGCAGCGCCGGCGCCGCAAGCTGGCCGCCTGCACCGTGCTGTGAGCGCCCGCATTCTGTGACGTCACGCTTCGACACCTGTCACCTGTCACCCGTCACTTGCCGCTGGCAAACAACCGAGCGCCGTGGCCCAACGAGGTAAGCCAAAAAACAGCGAGTGCAATTTTCGTTTAGGATTTTGACATATCTGTCAATGTCATGTCAAAAATAACCAATCATGCAGCATTTGGACCTCGCGTCTACGTATTGCCATCTGGCGGATTTTTCAATCGCGAAAACCCTCATTGACACTTCACGACTGTATTCTGCGATTTTGACAGCAGGTATATTAATGTTATTGTATGTGAACTGGGCTATGGCACTCAAAGGTCCCACTATAATCAAATTAAGGGAATTTAAATTTATGGCCAATTGAAATCGTTATAAACTATCATGATCGCGAGGACACGAATTGTCGGCGATTCTCTTTTATTTTAGTCAGATGGACTATTAGTATATTTGGTGGAAACCGTATACGTCAGATTGATTTTCCTTCCACTCTTGGCAAACAATTTACTGTTATTATCTAAGCGGAGTGCAAGATGCGTGAGTTACGAAATCAAACGATTTGTCGAAGTAAATGTGTTTTTGCTATTTTAATTAACAGCCAAAACAACACTATTGTTGGAGTGAATAATTCTAGTGGAGCGATTGTCGCACAACACACTGAAAGTTATTTTGTGTGGCAGCAAAATGTTTTATTTATTTTATACAAAATGCTACTTTTTGAAGGGCGTATAAACTGGGTACTTTTTTATACCCGCTACGTATAAAATCATTCGAGAGGATCTTATTTTTATTCATCCCAGTTGAAATTATGACGCAAAAAAATTATTTATTAAATTGAAATATGACAGTGAGTCTGAAATTAAATAACTTGTTGTGTTAATAAAATTGTCGTCTCAAGATCTCTATTGAAAGAAAAAATATGGAATGATAATGTGAGACTAAAGATGTAGCATAAGTTTAAAGTTAGGTATGCACAAATGTAAGCAGGCGCAAAGTTCATTTATGTAGAAGCGACTAAAAATGTATGTATTCAAATAGCTTCAATTCAATCTAAATTATTTTCTTTCATACCCTATGCATTAGTTAAGGGCACGGATATCCGCGTTCATCGCACGAATGTCTTGGCTATTCTCAATACAAGAGTGTACAGTATTAATTGTTCGTTTATGTCTGCCGGGACAAAAAACAAGCGCGGAAAGTATATTTTATATATTTAGTTCGTAGGCGTATTATCACGATGCAGAGCATTTATTTTAGAAAATAAGTTGTTTACTATGATAAAGGAACAATCTGTAACGTCCTTCGAAATATCAATTTGATGTACTCATGTACATCTCTTTTAATTTATATTGACGGCAAAGGGATGAAATACATAAATGATCGTATTAATATTTTCGAAAGTGGCATCAGATTATTTCTAATGAATCTTTACATTTTATACCAAAAATATATTTAGACTTCAAACTATTAAGTACACGTTTAGTTTAAAAGCTTTACATTTAACTGTACGCTTATTTTTTATTTATTTACATAATTTATCATCTCTATAATGATGTTATTTTATTTACACATTATGTTAAATTAGCGTAAGTTCTGAGGATGAGACCAAAGTGTATAGACACAGCCCATAGTCGTCGAAATAGAACCCCTTGAGAACGGTTTGACCCCATAGTTGGTAAATAAATTGATAAATAAATTCTATCCGAGTTACTTCTGAGACTTGTGAGGCCTGAGCGGCATTATTGTTGCGATCAATTACAATTTGTAATAATGTTCTTTAGCCGAAAGCTTTTCTTGAGTCATTCAGATTAGATAATGGCATATCTCTGTCAGTTTGCAAAACAGCAGAGTGTAACATAGATAGTTAGTTCTCTTCAAATCTAAAATGGGAGAGTTTCACGTGGGGTACGTTTTCTGAGTGCCAAAACATTGAGACTCAGTACTTTGTTTGCATCATTCATCACTATTATTGTTTCTAAAATGTATATTCTCCTGTGCGCTTCGATAAATCAAAAGTTTAGTACAGTCAAACGTAAAAATAAAAGTATTAGGTTACATATAGCTCTTTTGTTATTTTTACTCTTTATCTTGACTGTACCAAACTATTCGGAATACGTATATTTCTTACATCTAAGGCTGATTATGTAAACCAAATTGAAGTAAGCATCCAAAGATCATTTATTACTGTATTGAACAAATATTGTATAAAAAATTATATTTAAAATCCTGGGATAAGCTGTCATTTTGACGTAAGTTTACAACAATTTTGACACGTGAATATTTTCCAGCAACCAGCTTAAAATAACACAACAATATCTATAATTATAAGTATCTGCCAACATTGAATGTCATAATAAATTTTTAGAATGACAAAACTAAACGTCAAAGTGACAGCGATTCTGAAACGTCACAAATAAAATTGTGGACGCACATTTTATCTCTGTAGTAGTAAGTAGCGTATCGTGATTACAATGTAACGAAAAATGAAAAGGAATTGAAATATAATGTAACGTTTTTATAAATGTTTCAATAAGTGTTATGAGGCCTAGTAGAAACGTTTAACTTAGGGCATTATCACAAACCCCATATGAAGATTAGATTAACAGTCTTAATGTTGCCAGTGATAATATTTATTATTGTAAATATCATTCCACTCTGCTTATGATTTTAACTTAAAAAACATGGGTGGTGACTTTCAATGGAATATAATTTCTAAATTAACTCAAACAAAATGTATCAGCAAAGGTGTTGATTTTTATTTCATAAAGGTAGCTGTGAATGAAATGCTAAATCATTAACTGTTTAATAATAAACTGCTTGTACAGAGTATTAGGGGTTGGTATTGGTTGTCCTCCGGTAATGTAGCTCAGAACTGGCCAAATACAATTGTTTATTGAAGGGGATAATATGTTCATCAACCACTTAAATATGTTTAGCCTTAATGTAATTAGTTGTAGTTGTCAGAGCTTCCCGTTTAACGAGTTTGGAACCCCATATAACATTTCTTTACGTGCCAATTGAAGAAATAGTAGTAAACATACAAATCTAATATACATGCTGGCTTATACATAACTGATATTTACTTTATGTGGCCGTCTGTCAACTGGCCGTAGCTGATAATTATTTAGTATTTGTATCAGAAATTCAACATAATAATTTTGTGAACTTTTGTAAGAATTTTCACGGTCCCTGATAAGATGACAATGACCAATAAATTGCATTTTAATAGAAAACAGTTTTATTGTATTCGCATAGTAGTAAGCGCAATATGATAGTGAGAATGTTATGGCCAATAGCGCAGTGTATGTTGTTGTTGATGTGTTTTATATGTTGTAACATACAATAAATATGTAGACGTAAATCAATTGTTTTATTTCATTCTAACAGTTTCACCTGACTTATTTTTATCATAATGACCTTAATTGTAAGTAAATCGCTTTATATGTAAAGTGAAAACTTTGAAGCATAGAGTTTATGAGAATAATACTAAATTCACTACTCTTAAAGAAGACTCAAATGTTGCGAAATGTAATAATGGCTCCCCACAGCGAGTTACCTTGATATTCCTACCTCCACCGTGGTTCTGCTGGCGAGGGATAACTGGCAATACTAGCACCTCAACGCTTAGTACGCCGTTGCCTCGCTAGAGGCCCCGAGTGTTGGTGAGATTCTCGTCGCAAACACAGATGGCGCTACAGGTAACGGAAGGTATTGGAAGTGGAAGAGATTTAGTACAAGGACAAGTAAAATGAAGTCTCCCTCGTAACACCTCAAATTGGAAGGGAAGAACCTCAAGTTGCATCAATCAACACGGAAATTATTATAATATTGAAAAGTTGGACGGAGAATGACTATTCTGCCTTGCGGGATAGTCTATTAAGTGACTAATGCCCGTTTTCACCATCAATCCCTAATTTTAAGTGAACCCTATGAAAACAAAATTCCTGTTATGTGTTACCATAGGGGTCACTTAAGATTAGGGATTGATGGTGAAAACGAGCATAAGTATCCTGCCGTTTTAGTTTTCTTTTTCCACTCACTTTATTTACATCACCCCGTAAAAGTTTGACACGTACTTAAATATTATCATTGGTATAATATGGGCTCATGTGTTACATTGTAATCTACACATCAACATTGCGTTACCTTCATTATTGTTTAGATAAGAAAGCTTTTCTGAGTAAGGCTTTTCATTTGAATATTAATATTTGCAGATATAGAGCATGGGTCGGGATTCCGCCAGTATTCCGAGGTGACATTATACAGGGTCCATTTAACTACGATTTAGGTTATAAGAACTTTGTATAAATAACTTTTGTTTACTACTTTGTGCTACCGCTACCTATCATATCAAAGGCACAAGGCCCAGTCATGGTCATCAGGCGACAGAAAATAAATTGACATGATGTTAATGATTTATAGTGTTAATCTATACTGCTATCAGATTGCTATAATTTGGTTACGATGTTAGTAGTTTGTTGGAAGATTTTTGCTGATTAGACGCTAAAATTATGTGATCTCTTTCTGATAATTTAGAGACAGTATTTGTACGACATAATAAAAAATAAGCGTACCTAATTATTATTATATGCCACCATGGCAATTTAGCAAACAAATATGGATCTGAATATCTGTCTATGCATTTGTATATTCTAATCTTTGATTAGACAAAAGTAATCTTAAAATCTATTTATATACTTTCACTAGCTTTCCGCCCGCGTGGATTTTTGTCTGTCACAGAAAAACTTTATCGCGCGCGTCCCTGTTTCAAAAACCGGGATAAAAACTATCCTATGTTCTTTCCCGGGACTCAAACTATCTCTATGCCAAATTTCATCAAAATCGGTTGCGAGGTTTAAGCGGGAAAGCGTAACAGACAGACAGACAGACAGACAGACAGACAGACAGACAGACAGACAGAGTTACTTTCGCATTTATAATATTAGTTGGGATTAGTTGGGATGGGATTTCCTTCCGCATCGTTTATTGTAATTTACAGCAGGTAATCATATTAAGTCATACGGTTGACCCGACCTTACCTTAACTAACAGTAGTTTGTTTCCTCAAAAACAAAAAATAAAACACGCTGGCAGTTGATAATAAATGTTTAATATAAATTATACGCATCGAAATAATCATTTCAATGACGTGCATACCTACCTGTTTCATTATTTTTGATAGGGTGAACCTTTTGGTCCTTCCATTATCTTTTATTAATTGTTCAAAATGATCGTAAAAATCCTCCACCTTTTGTCTGAACGCTAACTCAGTCAATTACAACTCCGGAGCAGTCATTTGTCCGCGCTAAGGAGGCATTTCCCCGTAAATGCAGTACAAATTCACATTAAGATGGCGGCCGTGATTATGCTCTGTGGCCGCGGTGTTATTTCATCACGGACCTCCTTGGGGCGTTTGTGGTGGGAAAAAAGAAGCAACGGGACGTTTATTTATTGGCTTTTAAACTATACTATCATTGAGTAGGTATTCTAATTCCAAGCACCATCGGTTTATGTTGCGTACCTATACATATGTATATGTATACCTACTACTCTTTGAAAATCACAATCGACTATTGAGGGTAGATAAAAAGGAATAGCATCTAGACTCAGTAGGTATTCGAGGAATGCGCAAGAAACCAGAAGCAGCCAATATGAACCACCTCGGCACGCCAATAAAGCGAATTCTACACGTTTCCCGACTTTGAGAAATTGAGACGATCGGGTACTAAATACATAGTTGAAATGGATCGGCACCAGAAAGGGCCAAGTAAATCTAGAAACAATTCCAATAAGTGCTCAATAGTGTAATGTAATTAGTAACTAAGTACATAGGCACTGTTTTGGTTGTGTTGCTATAGCCGTGAATGCGAAAGCTCAAATTTTTAACTGAAAGTGATTTGTCGTAACATAATGTATTTATTGAAAAGGAACCCCCATGTGTTCCAATACTTATATTTATTAGTAGTGTAAGGGCTATATTTCACCGGGACACCATGGCGGCGCAACCAGTCGCCGGCTACCAACAAAATGTATGCAGTTTTGCGCAACCAAACGGACACCGGTGAGTAACTCTCTATACACGGTGACAGGTAAAGCGATACATTCCTTGAAAGGGGTTAAAGTAGAGCTTATTTGCAGTCATTTAAGTCATATGACACCATGTCCGAAACTTGTTCATTTCCAAGTTATTCAAGATTTAAGTATTTTTTAAAAAATCTCCAGTTTTTATGTTAAAATGTACCCTTGTAATGAAGAATACGGAATAATGTTAACTTTTTTGTTGTATTCGTATAGCTAAATAATAAGATTGACATTTTAAATTAAAATTTGCAAGAAAGAATCGTCATTACTCAAGTAAAAGCTAAAAAACCATGTATTATTTTGCAAAAAAAATATGTTTTAGGTAATTAAACGAAGAATTTCCAAGAAAAAATGTATGGAATGTTGTGTACAAATTACAGAATTTAGTTCCTTGATTCATTAGCTATTCAAAAAGGTACAGGTGTTTAACAAACACTACATAATTATTTTTTTATTTGAATTTAAACGTCTAGTAAGATACTTTCATAAAAAAATCATAGTACGTCGAAGTCGATATTCGCATTTATTCTACAAATTGCTTCCTTTTATATGCGATCTGCTTGGCTTGGACGGTAAGAATGCGTTGTATTCTTTAATGTGCTTTCCTGAAATTCCCTAAGGAAATAGAAAATGTAACGATACGGGGTTAGTTTGTAGAGTAGCTCTCTATAAAAATTTTTTTTTTAGAATCAATTCAGTTATTTCGATTTTTGGGATTATTAAAATAAAATCGTAGGTAAAAGAAATCCTATAATTGTTTTGTTATTGTAATCAATACAGGGTGACTGGAACTGAACCCGCCATAGCTAATACGCGTATAGAGGAGGTCATTTGCTAATTATTGAACCCTACTTTCTATGACTAAAGTTTTATAGTTTAGGAGATATGTCAATTTTTATACTTTTTTTTAGATTTTTCCGAAGATAATTAGCAATTCATTATCACCATTAGCTTTTTTTAAAATCGAATTCGAACTTTAATTTTTTATCGTGGTTTGTACTTTTGTTGAACTTTGGCGGTTCGTGGTTATTCAATCATTATCTGGATCTGAAATTTATTTTATTTAACTAAAAGTTTATTCGATATTAGTATCAAATAAAAAAATCGGTTAAAATCATGCTTCTCGCATGATTAAAGCAGTTTTTAGGTAAAATTTCGGAAAAATCTGAAAAAAGTTTAAAAATTGACATATCCCCTAAACTATAGAAAGTAAGGTTCAATAATTAGCAAATGACCTCCTCTATACGCGTATTAGCTATGGCGGGTTCAGTTCCAGTCACCCTGTATAAAATAAAGTAATTTACTTTTTCAGTCAAGTCAGTTTTTCGATGTCTTGTTATAGTTTTCGAGATATCTGCTCTTCAAAGTTTGGGTCTTGATTTCATCCCCGCCTGAATCACCGATTGATTAGTTCTTTATTAATTTCCGTACATAGTAAGTACATACCTACTTACTTTGCATATTTTAAATATTAAAGTTGTTATTCTTTAATCTGTGTTTGCTTTGTAAATACGAATACTTACAATCTTTACCGTGTAATTGGCAATCACGAAATATGGCTTGACCTTAGAAAAGTTCATTAACCTGCGTTTGGCGAGCATTCGGTCGGAGTCGCACTCCTAACAAATTATGCTCACAGGGTCGGTCCTTCATTTACCTACGCAATTTGCAAGAAGTACCTAATCCTTTTGCTTAATGTTTAGGCGCAGGCTCGATCCGGATGAATAGGTATGACTAGATTAATGAAACTAAACTGTCGCTCAGTCTAACAATTATTCAAGATTCCTATGAGTGATCAATGATCATAGGCTTCTACGGATATTTAATACACAAAACCAACCATACTTTATTTAGGTATACAAAATATTTTAATTTATTAGGATTCCTTTGCTTTAAACTTTGGCACACACAGGCATAGGTAGTTTGATCAGCTGCGGCTTTGTGGTATTATATGGAAATGTAATAAACATTTAGAAATAAGTAATATACCTCATTTACATTACAATCACATTCTGGCCCCCCGCGTGTCGCAGTAATTAGATGTGACAGATACTTACTAAAGTGTGCCCTACAACTAGTAGGTATGCCCTACGACGTAGGGCGCAGTTGCGATCCGCTACTTCGTTATGTACCGGTATTTCGGTCATGGGCATTGAAGTTATCCTGCAAAAAAAAAAAACCAGCAGTACCTAGCTTTTTTACAGCGGATTCTTATTATGTTCAATTTTGAGCAGTTTCAAATATCGTTGGATAATCGGACGTAGAGACATGGGTGGAAATG